AATATCGTATGTTTAAATCGTAGCCCATTGAGATTGTTAAAAACTATGATTATCTTGGTGTAAAAATGTCGTCTTCATGACATGGACTCGCTGCTGCGGGAAATACTGTAACAAAAGCCGCTCTGGCCACAAACGCTGTACTCGACATAATTAAAAAATTAAACACTAACTCAGTGGCTGCATGCAATAAGCTATTAGACAGCATTGTTGTTTCTACACTCTTCTACGCCTACCCTGTATAGGGCATGAGATTCAATTCTCTAATTGAAAAAGCTCAGCTGGGCTTCCTGAAGAGACTGTTCCACCTACCTAGATGTACAGCAAACTGGGCGGTCAGAAAAGAACTAGACATTCTACCACTTGAATATAAAGCCATAAAGCTGACATGGGACTGGTTCCTCAAAATCCTAGCTGCTGAGGACAACTACCTCCCGAAGATCTGTCTTATAAGGTTAAAACACCTCGCTAACAATTCCCGATGCCGAGAGGAATTAAATTGGGCTTGTCAATTTAAGAGCTTCCTGATACAAACAAATGCTCTCGATCTCTGGAACTCTGATAACGTCCAAGACTGGAAAAATAGAGAACAACAAGTCTTCAACTCCTTAGCTTCAATACTCAGGCAACAGGACATACAAGATTATCTATATTTGTCGTCTAGCCAATTTACCTTATACGAACCCAGTGAAACCGTTCACAACAAACCAACTTACATCACTGAAGATATTCCAATGATTGCCAAAAGAACAATAGCTCAGACCAGACTCGCAAATATCTATTACTGTTACTTCTCTCTCAACCGAAGCATCCCTGTCAATCCGAACTCTTCCTGTCTCTGCTGTGGTACCTCTCACTTAGAAACGTTGGAGCATTTACTATTAGTGTGTCGTGCTTCTGAAGATGAAAGAAAAATATTCATGTCAGATAATCAACATATTGGATCTATTGGTTTAAATAGCTATCTAGCTAATTTAAATTCCTTTGAGTGTATATCTCTTTATTATTATATGAGTAGTATCTTTTACAAAAGGAACGAATTGTTAAAGTTTAAAAAATTTAATGATCATTTATTGTATTTAAAATTATTAATTGCATATTAAATATTTTGATTTAATTTTAAAGTTATCCCCCCAGCGATGGGACTATGTACCTAGGACGCTTGAATAAATATAAAAATATAATTTGTTTTGAGTCTGTTTCAGATAATTTGTGTTATTTGTGCAGTAATTCACCGCTTTCTCAGTGCCGGCTGAGTGTTCAACCACGTGTCAACCGGCTTCGCATTATTACATACACTTTCATTAACTAATCTGCTTTAACAATAATCCGCTTACTGATTAAATAAATATTAAGTATATTTAGTGTAAATAAATTTCTAGTTCACATTGTTAATCATATTTCCGCATTTTAATTGAGATATCCAGACCAAGACCTGATCCTTAGTTTTTCCGCTTGTTACATCCGAATCGGTAGACGTAAATTAATTAAATTTTATTTTGGTCCTGGTATTTTCCAACCACTAGACCGAGAACCCAGAAGTATTGTGAAAGGATATTGGTATATTATTTTTAAATAAATTAACTCACTTCAAAATTTAAGAGTTATACAATATATTGGAATTGACAAAAAGTTACAAAAGATAACAAGCTTACACTAATTCGATTATTTCAGATTTATATTAAAATTCAAAATTTAACACATGTGCAACTACAATAGGTTTTAACACTGTAACGTGGCTGGTCTCGACTGTTCGTAAAGTGAATAAATTTTGTACTCAAAAATAAATTTAATGAAATTTGAATTTAATAGTTAAATACGAACTGGGTCGAAAAGACACGCTCGTTACACCCGGAGTATAACCAACTCGAAGCCGTAGCTTATAAGAGTCGATGCTGCTCCAGATGCCTGTAGCTTTAGAGTTTACGGTGGACCAAGCCGATAGCTTTCAAAGCTACAAATAGCTAAATTGATTTAATTCGCGTTAGGAATATGGTCTAGGGCAATTCGTGGGTGGCGATACTCGTTGAAAGATAGATTCAGCTCCGACACAAAACCAATCCTTGCTGCGTACTGCTCCACTGATCGCTTAAGATAGAAAATAGAGCTTAATGGTCGTCAAATACAAATATTGAAAAATACAGCTCAAAGTAAGTTCAATACCGCGTCCAATTCTTACCAATATACCACCTGACTTACAACAGGTACTACTACCACTTCGGTGTGCTTTAACGTTGTCCAGCGGTAGTAGATTCCTCGTGGCTGCAGCTGGGCCGGTTACTGGATCAGGAACAGACGAATAATCGAGATGACCGACAAACCAGGATTTTGCTCGAACAATGAAACGAAGCTTTCCTCAACAAAATGGCTAACTACTCGAGACCTCTTGAGTACACGACATGCCAAGCAAATTTATCTTGTATATGCGTCGTATTATTTAATTAATGTACGACATACTCCTTGTTAACTAATAATCAGAGCCGTATCATACAAATATAGTTTAAAATGCCGTTATTATATAATTAACGATGTAAATTAATAAAATACCGAACATTACGTTGTAACACGGTAAAAATAATTACTTATATTTCAATAAATATATCAATTACAGAAGTATACATTATGGGGGTTGAACAAAGACTGAATGCACGCGGCTTTCACGTACATTAATTAGCATTGAAAAGTGGGGAGACGTTCTAGCGCCACTCTCAAATGATTTTCGTACTATTTGCGATTATCGCCTAATTTCTAATCGGATCTTGACATGTTATCTGCTAACGATATTAGCATCAGGTGGTAAATTGGTATTTAGCTAATGTGAGCCAACTGGCCACGTTGCAACACATACCTTTATTTGTTACGTCGACACACGTGGTTCTTTCGATCAATTAATATTTTTATTATTTAATTTATTTAATTATTTATTTAATTTTACGTGAAGCTAAATAAGAAGTTATAAAAAATATTACTATGATTTTACTTTAAAATTTAAAAAGAAAAACTTATTCAAAAACATTGAATTTAGTTTAAGATAAACTATTTAGCTGCGTGAGAGTAACCCGGTCACTAGCTAATTGGGCGATCCGCACACTTCTGGGTCAGGATGACGAGAGAGAGTTCATGCGAAGTTCTCTTGGGACTCGAATTTTCTGGCGTTTCCAAATTACTAATTGGGGGAAAACAGTATCCAATTAACTGTCTATTTCCCTTGGATCCTACCCTCTCTTCCGATTTTTCCAAGATGTTTGCTTGAACTCCCTTCCTTGGGCCCAAAGGGGATGATATGCCTCTCTCTCTTACTTATAGGCTAATATTATACCCGTGAAAAAATATTCTGATCAGACCTGATATGGCCTGATATGGACCGTCCATATCAGGCCTGATATGGAAATTGGCCATATCAGACTTGATATGGCCTGATCAGGGCTGATATGGCCATATTAAGATGTAGACAACCCAGAAGGATAAATAAAATTTATCATTTCTGATTTTATTTTGTTTTGTAAAAAATACTTATAACACTAATTCGTAGTTAATATGAAATTTATTTTAGTATATTTAGTTGTTTGTCCAACTTTATTCAAAAACAGGTAAACTCTGTAATAGAGTAAAAAAATTCTACTCTTTTTGGAACTTAACACTTCAAAGTTAAGTATCTAGAAAAGAACAATTCCGCGACCATGCGCCATCTACTGAAGACTTTTAATACTAGTTTCGACAGTGCGGAACATGTGATTGCTCCATGGTGAAGTCTTAGTAACTAACTAATATGTTGTCAGATTTATAATATTTCATTGATTATTTCAATTTTTTCCAAAATTTTCAAATAATTTTAATAATTCATCAATAAATAACTGAAAATTAAATTTCATGTTAAAAATGTAAATAATACACAAAAGATTTTTTCATTTGACATAATATTGCATGAAAAACAATAATAATATCAATTTAATATTGTATTTAAAAAATAAAAAAAAAATTTTACTTTTTGTAAATTTTAAACCAGATAAAAAACGGTAGCCGATTGGTTCTACGCCAACAGTAATTGTTTTTTTTTTCAAGTTTCTTGAAAATGTTGAGTAATTCAAATAATATATGAAATTCATTTATTTTTACATAATTGGTAAAAAAATTAATTTTATAATCAAAAAAATTCTAAAATATCAATTTCTCAGCTCGTCGAGTTAAGTCGGAATATAGCAAAATTTTTCAAAAGTTTCGTCATGAGGACCATTGCAATAGTTAGTTTTCTATGAAATCTACTAAAAACTTCATCATTGGCATAGCGGAATAGGACATAATTTTGGGACTACACATATGATATGGTACTCAAATTGAAGCTTATTTAAAGAGATTTCAGATGCAATTTACAAAAATTCGATAAATTAACCCATTCAAAAGTTATTCAAGTTCGAAAATGAAGAAATGTAAATTTTTATGATTTTTCATGATTTTGAAAATTTTGAAATCATGGCATTTCTAAATTACTGGACCAATTAAGCTCATCTTCGAACTTGACCTCGGTATCTATCTGTAGAATAAGTATGTTGAGTTTGGTGAAGATCCATTGTAAAATCAAAATTGAGTCAAAATTTTTTTATATATATATATATAGATAGATAGATAGATAAAGTGATTTATTTGACCTTAGAGCCTGGGCTCCCTCAAGGCCATCAAAGTCATATACAGTTTACATTTTTTTTTTTTACAATAATCTTATTAGCAAATTAATTTCTAATTATTATATAAGTATAATTTCCAAATACAATAAAAGTATCCAAAAGGAGCATAATAACCAAATATAATATAAATATAAATCATAAATAAATAATCTTATATAAATAATATAAATCAGAGAGTTACATATGTAATTTAAGAATTAAATCAAAATAAATAAATAAATAATACCAATGATGACATTGAAACGAAAATAGTAGAACACAATAATTATGAAAATACAATAATCATGATAATAATAATGATAATAAATAAGTAGAGATTATCTAAACATCTTTATCGAGAAGGAATACAAATAAGCGATTCTGAAATTCAGTCAAATCATCTACAGTTGTAAGCCCAGCCGGCAAAGAGTTCCAGACTCGTATGCCTTGAATTAAAAACGATTTATCGTAAATGTTACTTGCAGACATTGGTAATCTCAAGTAATCCTGCCTAATGTCTCCTCGGCGCATTGCAACCTCCAGGAACTGCAGCTTTGAGCCAAACAACTGACGATAATTTAACCGAATTTCTTTAAAAAATAAGCACGCAATAAAATAATCTCTCCTTGTACTCAGTTTTAGCCAACTTAATTGTTTATAATATGGAGTTACATGTTCATATCGTGATAACTTGAAAATAAATCTCACACACGAGTTCATTTTTTTGTAGTCTCATTTGTAACTTTTTAGACATATTTGTAAATGCAGCACAACAATAATCAAAAATCGGAAAAATAATAGTTGTCACAAGTTTAATACGTAATTGCCTATTGAACACTTCATTGCTTATTTTTAACTGAGCCAACGAACTCATAGCCTGATTACACATCTTGGTAACTTGATGCTCCCATGAAAGAGTGTTATCAATAACAACCCCCAAGTATTTTACAGTCTTCACGTAAGGAATCACACTGCCAGCAACAACAATATTCTCCGCAGATAAACAGACATCACTGCTAACCTTAATCCTACTGCCAATAATAATAGACTTTGTCTTCGATGCGTTTAATCTGAGGCAATTCAGCTTACACCAATCAACAATCCGCCCAATCTCTTCATTTAACCTAGCAACCAAGCCATTGATCTCGTCTAGATGACATGACAGATATATGACAAGGTCATCAGCGTAAAGTAAGTGTTGACAGTTTAAAATTTTAGGTAAGTCTGTAATGTATATCATGAAAAGTAGTGGACCAAGTACACTGCCTTGTGGAACTCCATTCAACACTTCTCTCCACGCAGAGTTGCTGTTGTCGTGTCGTACAGATTGTCTTCTTTGAGACATATGACCTAATCAATCCTACAGCTTCATCCGAAAAATTCATTGACTGTAATTTGTATAGCAATCGTTGATGGCTGACCGTGTCAAATGCTTTGCTGAGATCAAAAAACACAGCAATTGTAACCTTCTGCTCATCAATAGCTAATCGAACGTCATCACACAGCTTAACTACCGCAGTTTGAGTATTTAATCCATCCTTGTAAGCCGACTGATATTCATCTGAATAATTATTAGCATTAATGTAATCCACAATTTGATTGTGGATACACCTCTCCAGTGCTTTCGACAAATTAGGCAGCAATGAAATAGGACGATAGTCTACACAACCAACTGGATGAGAAACCTTGGGAACTGGAATAACATGTGACAACTTCCACCTTGTCGGAAACACCCCAGTGACCAATGACATGTTAAATAATTTTGTAAACCAATGTAGTAAATACGGCAAAACACATTTATAAGCTTTAATAGAAAAATTATCCGGACCCACTGAGGACGATAGTATCCTCATTATTGATTTTTTAACCGATTCCATACTGAGCTCCTGGAAGTAGAAACGGTCATTGTTATTACTATCACTATTCAAAATAATGTCATTCGTTGTAACTTCTGACCCACTAACAATATTGACACTATCTATAAAATAATCATTTAATTCATCCAAATCAATTCTCAATTCCTGGTGAGCATTTTTTCTTTTAATCAAACCAAGTCTTCTAAGATCACTCCACAACGCTCGTGAGTTTTTAGCACTACTCAACTGTTGATCAAAATATCTTTTCTTCTCTTTAGTAAGTCTCTGCTTCACAAGTCGCCTAACATTCGAATATTCTTTATATGCATACCCAGTCCTCCTAAAAATACGATATAATCTATCACGACGATTTTGAAGGTCCTTAATCTCTGGAGTAAACCACGTAGCTGGTGGTCGACGTGGGTTAATAGTCTTCTCTGGTGCAATATCATTAATTATGCTATCCAATAATTCGTGTAAAAAATGATTCATGTCATCAACAGTATCATAAGCCACGTTTAAATCAGTATCTGCGCTAATGCATAAATCTTGTAGCCTGCGATCATCCACTCTATTCCAATTTCTGTAAGAAAAGCTTTGAAATTTCCGAAATTCAACTCTATAATTGTAAGTAATAGAAATCAAGTCATGATTCGATATAAACGGCTCTTTTGATTGTTCAGAATGCAAAACTTTATCCAAGTCATCAACAATACAAGCATCAATCCATGAATCTGAATCCTGCAAATGATGAGTTGACTGATACTCAACAATATGCAAATCATGACATGAACAAAGTCTACGAAGTTGATCCCCGAAGAAACAATCCTTACCCAAATCCGAGTTAAAATCACCCATCATAATGATGTTAAACGAAGGTATGATAGCTTCAAGTTCTTCTTCCAAATCCTCTAGATGTCCTGTATTCGGTGGCTTGTAAACCACACCAATCAGTAATTTTTCTCGAGACGAAGCTGATACCTCAATAAATAAATACTCAGGATGTTTATCCTGAGTATTTAAAGAAGATGCTACATATTTAGAATGTAATTCATTTCTTACATAAAGAGCAACTCCTCCTCCACTTCTAAGCCTACGGTCATGTCGGTACAAAGTATATGACGGCAATAAAATTAAGTTATCTGAAATAAGATGATTCAACCATGTTTCTGAGACAGCTATGATATCATATTGATGACATCTAAAATATTCTCGAAAAAGTTCAAAATGCTGTTCATTTCTAAGAGACTGGGCATTGAAATGACAAATTTTTAGACAATTATTCAAGCAGTAATTTGGCAAAACATTAACAGTATTAATAGTAGTATGTAGCGATATTGAGGGAGCAGATACTAGCTATAAAAGAGCATCAGCCAGCTGTTGAAGCCCAGTCGAAGGTCGCAACTTAACAGGCTGTTTGTTCTCATCATATCTAACATTCACTGTAGCGTACGATATCCAAATATTCCTAGGCATAATGTTCGGATACTTTTTACGAACTTCCTGACGAAACTTATATAGAGACGAAGGATGTCTATGATGTATAAATATACAAGCATCTGCAGATTGTGCCATCGGCGACAAATCACCAACTTTTATCTCATTGCCTTTGATGTTTTTCATGATGCTGTTAACAAGTTTTTGATTGTTGAATTTCACACGTATACTACAATCCTTATTACGAATCTTGGCTCCTAAACGCTCAACCTTAACAATATCATCAACCGACGCAGGAACCATCAACTTGTCCATCAAAGCAACAACAATGTCATCCAGTTTCTCATTGGTAGATTCTGGGAGACCTCCTACCATAATTTCATCTGCAAGAAGCTGCGTTTCAAGCTGTAATGTCCTAAGCTCCAATTGACCATCAGATATTGTTTTAGCAGCCCCTTTCACCTCTTCCAAAAGTCTTTTATCTACATCAACCACCTTCCCACGCTTTTCAACAGCTTCAACTCTGGTTGCCAACGACCTAACATCTTGGCTCAACGAATCATAGTTTTTCATCAGCTTATCAACTTGATCCACAAGTTTAGTCATCGATTCGGTTACAGTACTGATCTTTGATTCTATACCATCAATTTTATCCAACTTGGCATTAATGTTACTAAGTACTCCAGACACATCAACAAAACAAACAGGACAAGTCGTAGCAATTTTCACAGCTGCACGCGCTTTCGACGGTAAACCACATCGAATTTTGACACAAGAGTCATGAAAATAATGTTTACATTTTGCACCTGTTTGAATAGCTGCAGCTTGCTCCGTTATCGACTTAAGACACAACCCGCACGACATAGACATCATAAAAGACTCCCTAGATGGCAGCAGGTAGTAGTTGATGAAAACAATTACGTTGTAATGCTTCTTACCTCTCCACAAAACACAAAATACTTTTTAACAGATTTACAGATAGAAACAGCAAAAGTACGGCAAACTTATTATCACTTAAAAAATCTCAGATCTTCCTCTGTTCAATAATACAAAAATGTCCCAATACGATAGCTAAATACCAACAGATTTAAATATTCAATAGTAGTAAACGAAACGAAACATCCTCACTGTACAAATGTATACTGTATACTAACAAATATAAATAATGCTGTGAAGCGGGAAAGAATAGGAGTTACGGATAGTTATTACGTGAAGCGTTCCAACATTCACGTAACAGGATAATTGGTAGGAAAGGATTGAGAAAGGATTGTGGAGAGGATCATCTTAATGTGAGTTTATAGAATAAGCAGTTCTGTGAAGAGCATCAAATACATTTGCAAGTATGTCCATAAAGGCAGTGATATGGCTGTGTTTAGAGTGGAAAATACTAACGTGAATGCTCAACCAGTGAATAAAAACGATGAAATAACACTTTATCAAATTGGTCGGTACATCAGCTCCAATGAAGCTGCTTGGCGTATCTTTGGTTTCCCGATTCATGAACGGGATTCAGCAGTTGTTCAGTTAGCCGTCCATCTCGAAAACGGCCAGCGTGTATTTTTCACGAACCAGACAGCAATTAATCGTGCTGTAAATCCACCTAAAACTACACTCACTGAATTTTTCGAATTGTGTAATCGTGCGGATGATTTTGGTGCCTTTGCACGAACGTTACTCTATTCACAAGTACCATGCTATTTCACATGGGCTCAAACAAAAAAATGGATGCCCCGCAAGCAAGGCTCCCCAGTTGATGCATGTCCCAATTTATTTAAATCAAACGCTCTGGGGCGAGTATTTACAGTCAATCCAAAGCAAACTGAATGCTTTTATCTTCGATTGTTGTTGGTTAATGTTACTGGCCCATTGTCACATCAAGATATACGGAAAGTGAATGGGCAACAGTATTCAACGTATAAAGATGCGTGCCTTGCACTCGGCTTGCTGAAAGACGACAACCAGTGGGAATGTATGTTTGCTGAAGCAGCATTGAATTGTACAACAATACAAATTCGTCTACACTGTGGCGTAATGTTGAAAAAGTACAGCTGAAAGTAAATATGCGCGTTCAAATGCTTCAAGATCCATCCGCTGAAACATTCTCAAAACAACTCCTAGATATCGGTGATGGAAAAGTAACTATAGATGAGACTGGATGCGTAAAATTACCGACAGATTTTTGCACAATCGTTGACTCGCAAGACACTCTCATTGAAAAAATATTTCCCGATGTACACACACAGTACTTAAATCATGAGTGGCTTGCAGAAAGAGCAATTTTAGCGGCAAAAAATGTAGACGTTGACAATTTGAATCTGAAGATACAACAGTTATTGCCAGGGAACTTGGAATCATATAAATCTATTGACACAGTTTGCGATGCGAGCGAAACTGTAAATTTTGCGACAGAGTTTTTGAACTCACTGGATTAGCCAGGTGTGCCACCGCATAATTTACAATTAAAGGTTGGATCTCCGATTATCATGCTTCGCAATTTGAACCCGCCACGGCTGTGCAACGGTACGCGACTGGTCATTCGAAAATTAATGAAGAACGTCATCGAAGCTAGCATTTTAAATGGAAAGTTCCGAGGTGAAAACATATTAATACCACGGATTCCTATAATACCTACGGATGTGCCAATTCAATTAAAGCGTGTTCAGTTTCCAATTCAATTGGCATTTGCCATGACCATCAATAAATCCCAAGGCCAAACGATGTCAGTTTGTGGCTTAGATTTAAGCACGCCATGCTTTTCACACGGACAATTATACGTGGCATGCTCTCGAGCGGGTAAACCATCAAGTTTGTTTGTGTTAGCTAAAGATGAGCTAACAAAAAATATTGTTCACGCTGTAGCATTAAAAGACTGATATTTTTTGATAGTGTTGCCGTTCTTATCGAATAATGATACGTATATATATATTACAGAAATAAATTATGATGAATTATTAATAAATATAGTGCTTGGCGTTTGTTATTTCTAAATTCCCTTATCGTTCACAGCATTACACACCTATTTCGTGCATATACCACATCCTTACACACTCAAAATAGGTTAGTTATTTTCTGTCGGCACTAGAAAGTACATACCCGTGAAAAAATATTCTGATCAGACCTGATATGGCCTGATATGGACCGTCCATATCAGGCCTGATATGGAAATTGGCCATATCAGACTTGATATGGCCTGATCAGGGCTGATATGGCCATATTAAGATAAGTATTTAACTTTAATAAAATCCATTACAAATTGTTTTTAGTAGGTTAATAGATTTTTTATAGCTTAGTACAGAAAAAGAAAACCTTAATCAGTCAATAATTGGTGCATTTACCCTATTATCTATTTAAATTATAATACTTCACTATGAAATTACCATAAGAACATATCAGTAAGTAGATTCAATCGTTAAAAAGGGTTATTACCAGCTTATAGTGGGATCAAGTATAAGAGGCAAGCGGATAGCTAATCTCAGTATCTCAGTATCTGTAGAACAGAGGCTCTATATAGTCCTTAGAGAAGCAGGGTGTATAATACCCCCATGGACCTTTGACCCAATCCTGTGGCTCCTGTACTCTAGCACAACAATATTACAGGAATTCAAACGTTAGATTAACTAACTATAGGATCGTCAGATCTTGCGAGTACATTGTCTTCGTCTAAGCTTCTGCAACCTCGGAATTTGCCTAGTAAATTAATTAAATTTATCCTTAATAGAAAATTTCATTCTTTATAATTAATTGCAATAATAATAACAATAACTGCACAAATGAAAAAGATTCAGTGGGAAATACTACCAGCGAAAAGCTGTCGTGGTAGAACACTCAGAAGTCCGGTGGTTCCGAAGCAATTTTGTATATCGCTGGGAAAACTTTGACAATTAGTCTGGAAACTTTAATAATTTTGTGGCTTAAGCACCGTTGTTTTGCCGGAGGGGGAACGGATGAGCAAGGTACCACCTTGCTGCCCGCTTATTTATCATTCAAATATCTTTCGTTGGATTGTTAAATTAGTTGGCTAGTTTTTATTATGTGAGTTATGAGAATTTTTTGTGGCAATCTTTTGGTATCATGCTTTTCTACTAATGGTTAGATAGAATTCATTTTAGGAAAATTAACTTTTTTAGAATCGAAATTTAGTAATTAACAACAGCTTCTGTAATTTTACGAAAACATTGCAATTAATAGAAGTTTTAGCTTAAATCAAGAAACTGTTGCAATCGGATACAAGAAAAAGAATTTAAGAAAAATTAAAACCAGAAATAAAAAAATAAATTTATTGTTTAAAGGATTTGTTACTGAAGAAAAAATTTTATTTTAAGCAAACTAAATTTAAATTTTTGATAATCCTTTATCGAGAGATTGCTTTTACTATCAAATTATTTTTCTCCGTTCATAAAAATAACTATTTTTTTTTTTGGGTTTATTTTTATTGCATATACAGTCCAAATGATACATTGAGCTTTGACCGGTCAAAATACCTAGATAAACAAAATAAACGTAGGTCTCGCAAACATCGAGAGATAAAAAAACAGAGGTCAAAGCGGCGAGTTAATTTCTATTCGGTTTTCAGTGATACAGCGATGTAATGATATCACCCACAAAAGTACGTATGCGCATCAATATGAATAAATGCACCGAGCCGATGTAGGATCTACTACAGGACTATCGGATTATTGACAGGCTATGATAACAAACACCGCTTACGCTTACGCGTACATACACGTGGACAGGATACTTTGGCATTAACAGAATTGAAGCCCGGCGCGCATCATTCAATCCATTTGCTTTGTGTATTTTATATATCATATTTCTCTATACTTTGGGATTTGCAATAGATATTAATCACGGCTGGCTAACATATAGTAACTGAGCGTATAAAATTCTGAAATTATTTCAACATTTGACATTTTTAAAATAAAAAAGCCCATTCGGCAGTCGAAATGGAAGTAGATTTCATAATAAATGTAAAAAATCCAAAAATTACTGCGATCGGAAACGACCGCGGCTTGTCACCACGATAGCGTCGCCAATTTACAATGGATCTTCACCAAACTCAAAATACTTATTCTATAGATAGATACAGAGGTCAAGTTCGAAGATGAGCTTAATCGGTCCAGTAATTTAAAAATGCCATGATTTCAAAATTTTCAAAATCATAAAAAATCATAAAAATTTACATTTCTTCATTTTTGTACTTGAATAACTTTTGAATGGGATAATTTATCGAATTTTTGTAAATTGCATCTGAAAGCTCTTTAAATAATCTTCAATTTGAGTACCATATCATATGTGTAGTCCCAAAATTATGTCCTATTCCGCTATGCCAATGATGAAATTTGCTATTGCACTCGTTTTTTTTTTCTTTACTGTACACCAGTAGTAAGGAAACAAGTAACGAGTTAAAGTGAAATAAGGTTTTAGTCGCCGGTTTACTCGAAATCCATGATTTTTTTTCTATTTATGATGAAATCTACTTCCATTTCGACTGCCGAATGGTCTTTTTTTTATAATTTATACTGTAAATCTGCCATAAAATATTTTAATTAAAAAAACTTAAAAATGTAAATTTGCCGATTCTTAGAGTTAAAAAACCTAGTGACTATAACAAAATTATCACTCAGATTTGGTTTTATTTGATACTATTAAGTCAAATCCGGCTTGATAAAATTGTATCAGAACATATCAAAAAATTAGAAAACGGTCATATTAAATTATATCAAGCCATATCAGAATATATCAATAAATTATCTATAGATATATCAAATTATATCAGCCCAGATCAAATTATATCAAACCAGACCAAGCCATATCAAGCCTGATCAGCTTTATCAGGTCTGATATGGCCAATTGGCATATCTGGTCATATC